ATACAAAAAAACATTTCTTGTGATTTTCCTAATTTTTATTTATGAACCTAAGTAGGTACCTACCTTCTAAAAACTATTTCATATCCTCACAGGTTATTTTTAACGTTTCATAGAATTTAGTATGATAATTATCTTGGAAATGAAATTATTACACTTTGATGGTGGCGACACGAATATTAAAAAACAAAAAAAAACTGCAATAATTGCAGTTACGAACGATACCAATATTTTATATAGGAAAAACGTATTACTTATATGTGGTAATAAGTAATAAGTAATAACCAATAATAATCATTTGTTACACGATTCTAACTTACTTAGACGATTGATAAATTCCATACGACTCTATAAATCATAGAAAACGAATACGGATTGCTTAATTTTTAAAAAATATTCGAACGTCTACGTGCGTATTATTTGTACTATTTTTACATGGTATATAATGCTAATTAACCAAATGATAATAATAGGTGTACCCTAAAAAAACTCTATAATCACTATCCATATTTAATATAATAATATGGGCAATGAGCATTCACTTAATTCACCAGTGTCGAGTTCAAACAATTTTCTGATTAGATTTACCTATTCTATATTTCCAATGGGTTGGGTTTTAATATATTGTTTCCCTTTCATCAGCCACGTCAAATTGATTATACTTGCATAATATTATTGAATATAGTTAAATAAATTAAATATAATATCTATTATACCGTGTGGGATATGGTACTATTAGTGAATATCCCACGGTCTGAGTGGTCTGACGTGCTTCGGTGTTAAACGATTAATATATATATATACACATAATACATTGTAATATTTAATATAATTGATAATAATACGGTCATTCGACCTTTATATCGCAATCGGAGAATATGCCAGTAACTTACGTGCGTGAGCATTTTAAAAATATGTTTTTGCACGCATATCAGATACATAATATTGTTTTTAAATAATAGGTGCGAAGGACGCGTTGGTACCTATATAGCATAGTTTATAGGTGCACAATATTCACAAATTATTTAGTTTATTTTCACTACTAGTGATAAGAATGATAAGATTGTATCAACAATATTATGAGATAATATATTTTAATTATATTATTTACGATTAATGATGAAATGTGACATTATATTATTTTCAATCTATGCAACAAATATAAAAGTAGCTGATGATGAATTTTGGTTATGATGGATTAATGATTATTATCTTCGTCATCTATTATTCTTACAATGTGATCGTTGGTAATTTAATTATGTATTTATCGGTTTAAAACAATCTGAATCGAAAAAGCACTGTCATTAAAACATTAATTATAATTTATAATTTAGAAGTTGGTATCTAGCACATAATAATCAATATCATACTAGTCTTATAGTAAAGCTTATAAATCAAAAAATTAGAGTGTATACAATTTTCTAGTCGTATAGGTATACCTTTCTGGAATATATACAATATACACATCGTTATTTTTCTTTATTTGAGTTATTTTACTGAACTACCTAAAGGGACACGATTTAGACACCCTAATAAATTATATTAACAGACCATGTGAGGCATCATAAAAGACTCATATATACATATACTGTATGTATATAGATTTGCGTGGATATGGTAAGAGGGTGTATGACCCTTGAAAGGTGCAGGTGCAGTGCGCACAGCTGAAATATGTCCATGTTTGTCCCACATGTAAGGCAGAGTGTGGACTTATATTATGTACCTACATATAGGGCTGTACAGACTTGTTCTGAAATCGGGGATCTTTTGTGATATTTAATATACCGCAATATCATCGTCGTGGTTGTGTGTTTATTATCACTAGAATAATTTCGAAAGTATTCCCTACAATTACTGTATTAAATAACAGTGTAAAGACACGTAATTTAATAAAAGTAAAAGATAAGATTCAACTACTATAAATTAGAAAATATTTTCATTAAATTTAATCTATGATATTTTGTACARCAGTAAATGAATTACTTTTAAATTCATTTTAATAATTTATTAATAATTTTGATGGTAAATTATTTATTWTTGAAAAGCTTACAAAAACTATTTTTAAAATTGTAATTGCTGAAATATATAAACATGGTTAAATACTAACTATATATACTAATCATAGGCGTAACTATAGTCCTTAAGTTAGGGGGGCTAGATTCCTAAAATTGTTTCTATTGGTGTTTACAGCTGACTTGAATGGTTATTCGTTTATATGAAATACTATATTTTTTATGTTTTAGGCAGAAATAAAGTTAATGTACTAACATGTATATATAAGCACATATATTTACTCAAGAATTCTGAGGGGACTGAAGCCTACCAAACCCGCCTCCTTTAGTTACGCCTATGATACTAATATACTATGCATGCAATTATTGTCACAAATTAAGACCGCAATGAAAATATTTTATTTTTAACATTACATTATATTATTAACGACACGTTGGATTTTAATGATAAAGTTATCGATGTTTTTATTTATATGAAAGATGGACACGTAATTTTAAAAGTAGTATTTTCTTAACATAAGTAATAAGTTTATAATAATATATACAAACAAATAACTTGGGCAATGGGGGGAGGGCGATCGCCCCATCGCCCCCCCCCCTCACCTCAAATACGCCACTGTGATAATAATATATAAATACCTATAATAGGTATCTCGTATCTATATTTATAGTACTCAAAGGTAATAATATTTATAATGTTATTGAAGGTGAAAATCTATGTGTTAAAATCTATTTTGAAGAAGTGTTCAAGTATTAAAAAATAGGATTATAATAATACCTTTTTCGTTGTATAGATTTATTGCTATTTATAATTATGTAAATAAAATATGTATTATATACTATATTATTTTTATTCAACAATGCGCGACTGGTTTTAAAATCTTTTGCTGAGGTCAACATCCTTTTTGTTATTGGCAACTGTTCAAAATTGTTTAAAATATTTTTCAAGAATAAAAAAAAAGAAAATTGTGTCATGGATTATGGTTAACTGGTTGAGGCTAAATCAATTTAACTATCGATTTATATCTAAATATATTGTTTGTTATTAATAATTCTTTTACACTTCTATTATTTGTGGAGCAATTTAGCATTTACATTTTGATATCTTGTCAACTGTTATAGTGACTGTTTATATTAACCAAATACCAATTATAACTTTTTAAACAGTTCTGAATAAATCACCAGTTAACAGTAGTAATTGTATATTAGGTACACATTATCACAATTAATTACTTCATTATTTATATTTTTCAATTATTGTTGCAAATATCAATGAATTAATAGATCATCTTATATTATCTTTCTTCGATAGATTATCAATTATTTTATCTTCACTCTTATGTTTCATTAATAATTTAATATTATATTTTATGATAAATCATTATGTATTGCTTACTAGCGTCTTTAAAACTTAATGCGTACATGTATGAATCATATTATTTTAGTTAAGTATCCTTAAACCTAATTAATAGATTGAGTATTATTTTATTCAGTTTTAAATTATATTGTATATAGGTAGGTAATTAGTAATTACGTATGMATACCATAATATTATATTATTTTATACACACTAGTATAGTATGTACATTGTACAGCTGTAGTATAACAAAATAAAATAGTATAAAATAGAATGAAAAACTTTAACCATTCTTACTAACCTAACCCACCTAGTACCCAACTATATACTAGAATACTAGTAAATAGCATTAATTTTAGTATTAATATTAGAGTTAATTTATTCAATAATATACAGAACAGCATACAACTGCCATACATTCCAAGTTATAATTTCTAACTAAAAACATTGAACACTTTATACCGATGATAGTCAATACTTCAATAGGCGTTTGTTGATATAAAAAAAATATGTACTTAACACTAATAAGTATACTCAAGTTGTTTAAATAGTATATATTTACAAAATATAAAAGTGTTATCTAACAGCTAAATTATTTTTAAGTAATTTTAAGGTAGGTAACAACTAACAATAATACAAATATATTAATAATAGTACATTCTATAGTACCTATTCTACCTAATACATTCAATGTTTTTTTTTTTTTTAGGATTAAGGCTTCGACAACTGAGGTCATTAGCCTGGGGGAACTGTAGGGGAAGGTACTGTAGGTTTTAAACACGTGGGTAACTTTGGCAGAATTTTGAATGGGCACCCGTAGGTTTCTGCCATGCCCGGTWGGGGGGCGGCGGCCTCTATCTCCAGACACCGCGAAAATGCCCAAAGAGCGTTGCCGCCCGTGACCGAGGTTCGAACCGGCGACTGCGTGCATGGCAACAGACGCCTTAGTCCGCTCGGCCACTCCACCCACCATTCAATGTTTATAATAACTTAAATAAGCTAATAATGTGTTAGACAAGAATCATTAGTGCAAACTGTTAAGTTCATAAATAAATGGTCATATACGAGGGACTCATGTATGATGCATAATGATTATTGATTAACAATCTATAAGAAAGTAAGAAATTAATGTTCTCCAAAAAACATTAAATATTTGAAATTTAAATTGATAATAATCAAATCATACTTTTTATACCTGTAATAGGTGTAATAGTTTTTGGCAATTTTTAAGGTATCGACAAAAAACTTAATTTTAAGAGGACATCACACCAAAGACTTTGTAATCCATAGKACCGAAGAATAAAAATTTCCAATTTTTGAATAATACAAAATTGAAACTGCTGAACGTAAATTTTAATTTTATATGCTTTGGTAATATAATATTATGAAGATATTACAATATCTGTGGGTACAACGTACTCTAAAAAGTCTAAAGAATAAAAAAAAAATATTTTAAAACGAAATAATAATCAAAACAAATTTGAATTTTGAATACATATATTATATAGGTGCTTCTAATATTCTCAAACATTGCAATTTAATATTTTAATATTTATTATTATTTTATTTTAGAATATATTTTTCTATTCTTCAAATTGATTTGGTTGTGATTACGCGTTATGTGGTACCGGGTATTCACTTAATTTGTTAACCAACGATGTACTAAAGACATCTGAGATTGAGAACAATAATAAATAATACGTGAACTATACGGTCAGTTCCTATTATTGTTCTATGTTATCAAATTTTCCTTCTAGTAGTTCATCTAACCACTCTAAAAGATTCGTAGCCACCGAAGCAAAATCTTCCCATTGCTTGTACTCTGCCACTTTCTCCTCATTCAACGACAATAGTTCACCAAATAATCGTTCTTCATCTAATACATGAAATAATAATTTTATAGAAAAATATTAAAGAAATGTGTTTATAATATTATCAATTTTGTATTACGATTGTGACTTCTACCTGTGAGTTTGACCAGCGTGTCGAGTACTGCCAAAGGGTCACCAGGAAAATGGTCACTGCCTGAACACACGTTCCACAGGGTTTGGCAGATTAGCGCTGACAAGGTCCAATTGTGTTCACCCGACGACCTAAGAATGTTTACCATTTTTGAAACACCGTTGTAATTTTTGAACGCTTCTCGGTTGTTCTCATCAGTGGTCATATTAACCAATACGCCGCAACACACGACTAGTAATTCTTTGTTGCCACTATCCAAGCAATTGGTCACCGTTAATAATCCTGAAATACGTATATAAAAGGCCAACATAAAGTATGAGTAATTATGAGAGTATTTGAAGCAAAATTGTAAAAAGAAAGGATCTTCAAAAATTAAATATAAATATATAAAGGACACGTAAAATATGATGCGATATGTAAGTATTATATTAGAATTCAGTAACGATTGTAAACTCTTCTGACTTCAATGATTAGTTAACTCTCCCGAGTCTATAATAACTTGAAACTTCGTTACTAGGTACATAATAAACTATTGTATATTTGTATCATTATATAGCGCATAGAATATGACCATACATATTTTTAAATAGTCAAATTTCAAGTATATAAATTACAATTAATAAATAATAATATAAAATTATATCTCCTTACAGTAAATATAATGTTGATCYGGGAGAGTTTACCATATAGATTCAAAAAAACGAGAAAGTTTACCACTGCCTAATATCAGTATTTAATTAGGTTCCAAGATAACTGGCATGCATGCAGAATACACAAAAACATGGCTCACGTACCTACTACCTACACACAAATTAAACCGAGACCTGCATGGTGTAAATTGTAGGTGTTCTATAATTATTTTGCATCTTCAAACGACAAAATTCAGAAATGGTTGCRAAATATAAGCTTTGTTAATTTTGGTAGGAATTTCATAGTTTTTTGAAAAAAAAAAWTTAAGGCAAAAAAATAATAACTACCTATTTTCTAAAATTATTTTAGAGTTAATTTACGAATTTAAGAGTAAATAATATATATTATATTCAACTTAACTATGTAATATTCGGGCATTCATATTTTGTTTTTTGTCTTTTTATGAATAATGCTTATTAAACTTTATAAAAATTTATAAATAAAACTTGATCTTCAATATATTAACTGTCTTACTAATATAACAACTATATACTTAGTATTACCTACTATTTGTGTCTACTAAATAATTATACATATAATATATGTATTACATATTATGTAATAATCTAACGTTGTAATACATACAGTTATTTTTATTATAGGGATATAAATCTCCCAGGGAGATTCTCCCTAAACATTACGTGTTTCACACGCAACACATTCGATATTCCTCGCTAAATGGAATATAAACTAAACAATATAAACATAATTAAAAATTGATTTTACCACTTGTCTCCAATAAGTAATCTCGAACTGTAGATGATCTAGTTAAGTTTCCAAATACTCTAGCTACCTCCACTTTGCAAGACTGATTTCTAGTTGTAAGTAACAAACTCAATGCTAAAACAATTATAATATTGCATTTAATACCTATCTACATAGGATACCTATACCTAGTTCAAAATCATTTGGCTTATAACTAGGTAGGCACCTTGCGTTATATCTAACTGACGAGCGCCAAAAGGACCATAATTTGGGTTTGACATATCCGCATAATAGGATAAGTTATTTAAAGCCGCTAACGCAGCGAGTACAAGTTCTTCGTTTTCATCAATAGATTTTCGTCTAAGTATAGTCAATAAAGAATCTAAAAATTGTTCACATTCTTTCACTTTGTGAATTGGATGATAATCGTCTGCCGCCTTTACTAACTTAGTACCAATTTCTGGCTGTATGCTCATATTTACTATGACGCGTATTATCTATATTAACCAAATATATACGTTTAATTGTTTTATATTTAAAAAAAAACAATAATTATTTTACTTTGATGAGCACATCCTCGACAACGTTGATTTTAACGTCACGTGATATGTTGTTTAAATCTTTTTCCAAGTATAATTGCATTAAATTTAAAAATGTTCCCATAGAGCAATATGTCTCGTATAACTATAAAACACGGAGGTAAATAAAGTATAGGTAAAATGTACTTRGTATTTTAACTGCAGTCAACATTTTCAAGTAATATTACTTGGTGTCTAGCGTTTTCATTATTGGTCAGTATGTTTCCTAATGTATAGGTAATACGAACTACTATTTCTTCTTGCCCTGGATATTTGTCTATTATWGACATCAATACGGATACATTTGACCAGCAATCCACAAGTGCTTCGCAACATTTCCCATCAGTGGACATAATACTGATAATGTTTATTAATATGTTATAATATTTACTTATTATGGATGCCGTTAAAAATTGTTGGTACCTTAAAATTCTAGAAATGTTCGTAACCACATCAATATCTCCAGAAAACAATTCCAAAGCACGGTAAATAGTCACCAAACCACCGGAAGACAAAAGTTCAACGTAAAATTTTCTGTCGTTGACTACATTTCTGAGTGTACCAGTTAACTGGTATAGTACATGGTTGATTGCCTCCGGCAAGACTTGGCGTTCTGTTCTTTCTAAATTTATCATTTTTAAATGTAACAACATTAGCGATAAACAACCGTTATTCATGGCACGTTCCATTAAATCTGGATTCATTGTAAGAAATTTTAAAGCTCCGTAGCCGTAAATCAAAGACTCGGAATCTTCGTGTGGAGTAGCTAAGCCAAGTATATCTACAAAAAGGGTTAACACGTTGGTTTCGAGGAATAAATTATCGTTTTTATCTGAACGAGATATTTTGAATATTAGTTTACAAACAGTTGCTAAATATTTTCCAGTCACTTGCATCTAAAAATCAACATTTATCTGTTTAATTAATTAATATATTGTATATTTTGCACTTATATATTGAAAAATTATGTAACTTACCTGAAGTAACACTAATAATATATGGACAGTAAGTTCATCATCAAGAGAAGTGTTAACAAGTTTGAATATTGTTTTCAATATGGTTTCTTTCTTATTTTCGTCACGTATTACCGATAGGTTTTCCCGTTTTACGATCATTGCTAGTTTATTCAAAAGTGAGCACATCTCACTAGTTTCAAAGTCTACAAATGTAATTATTAAGTTCATTTAAAAATGCACATACTACTTATTTATATTTTACATAATATATTCATGTGTGTAAAACTATAAATTATAAATTATGCAGTGTATTAATAATACATTATGTATATAATGATAAATTTGTATAATAGACTTCGGACACTTAAAGCCACCATAATTCAAAGACCAAATATTTGTACAATTCAAAAGTTATTTAAAAAAAATAAAAATTAATAGTGATTAGAAATAATTACTACCTATATAATTATTAATTAACGATAATATTTTATATGTAATTTTAAAAATAATAGTAAATATGTTGAGTTCGAGTTCAACTTAAATTGATTCCAGGTTTGGTTCGGGTTAGAAAAAAAATTTAAAGTTCGGTTCAAGTTACAAAATCAGGGTTCGACCCATCACTAATTAATATTAAGTAAGTAGATATGAAATAAATTGTCACACAAATACTCAATACTTTTTTTCATTTTGGTTTCAATTAGTGATATGATCCATAAGCAGTCTGTGTGAACATCAAAGCATAATGCTCTCGCTTCATTGATTTCGTTTTCATGGTTCATGTATTCATGATCGTAAACGTTTTGTTCATGGTTCTAAAAAGTTTTTTTTTAAAGCGATTAATTAAAAAAWATCTCAATATTTATAATTATTAATATATGTATAATTWATTATGTTTTATATTACATGCCTAGTTATATAGTTAATTAACTAAGTAATAGTATGGCTTTAATTAATTTTAAATACCTAGGTATTTTTATTTTACAATATTAGGTATAACCAAAATATAATAAAGTAATTTATTTAAAATAGGTCACACACCAAGCTTATCTGTTAAAAGCATTCTATAGGTACATCTATAAATATATATAGATATAATTTATTTTTTTAAATTTGAATTACAATAATAATGTATTTTTTTTTAACTTTTTGTTTTTTGTGTCAATTATCGGTCATCACCTTTTGGAGCTAGTGTTTCAAGTTYTCAACTTTGGAGTGATTTAGTTGGTAGCAATATTAATGTAGTTGGTATTTTCATCTAACAATTTTGTTTCTTTTTTTGTTATCTATTCTGAAATGAATACTGTGGTTAATTACTTGAATTTGAATTTATCAAAAATTTATTTTGTGTTTACATTTTCTATAGCCATAGGGAAATTTTTCAACTATCTTGGATTTTTTAGTGCTATTTATAGACATTTGAAATTTTTGTTTTCTAGTTAAAAAGCTTGAACACTAATTCAAGGTTCCTCATAAATTGTTCAAACAATCAAACCTCAATTAAATACATCGAAAATACAAAGTGCCAATTGTTTTATAATTATAAGTGTTTAGAATTCCATTTTGATGAAATTCTTCAGAATCAAGACAATTATCAAATAGTTTAGTACTTATTTAAAGATTCATATAAGGTATAAATGCTCAATTATTTCATTTTAACATCTTAAGGTCGCCAGATTCAACCGCCTGTTAAAGTAACATATTAAGTATTATTATATAGTGGCTACCTCCACATGACATTAAAGCATATAGTAGATATTCCGCGCATACGTAATATCACAAAGTTTGGAACAATAAAACTTCTCGTTGAAATATATATGTTTAAATTTTTCAAAAAAAGATTGCTTCGTGCTAAACTGCAATTATACAAAAAAAAAAGTGTCCCGTAAAGTAGAAATATACCGAAAATATAACACAAGATTCTACACRAGTTGTTCTTAATTTTATATAAAAATTCTAGGTTTAAATTTGATATTAAAGGAAGTATTTATGATATTTATTTTATATATATAAATTATGTTAATTGTAATTAAAAAATTCACTTGCACTTAAAACTTTCGTTATTGTTTAAATTATTTTATACTGTACCTRTATTATACCTATTTAAACGATGGTCGACAACCCTATTCACGTCGTGTTTTGGGATGCTTGCGGTATCTTATATAACAAGCTATTATAATATATGAAATTGTATTAAAGTAATATTAATATCTATTCGTTATTTTTTTGTATCTATAAAGTATAAACATTGATTTTTATATTTTTCAACTTATGATTTTGATGCATTTTGTACCTAAGGTTACCGTYTACCAACAATTTATCTACATTATTATTTATTTTATTATTATTTAACAATTAACGTAATAATAATAATATATTGAGATTGACTATATATTAAGTACATATAATATAGGTGCATATATGATAATAATTATGATGGATTCTTCCTTGCATATCGAATTAAATAGAGTAATGCAAGTTGTATTAGAAGCAATTAGGATCAATCGATCGACGACGATGGACATATTATTAGATGAATTAAAATTAAATTATCCAAACGTAAACACTATTCACTTGCGGTACAAACTTAAAAAAGGAATTCGTGAGCTAAAAAAAGAAAACTTAGTTCATGAAATCAAAAAAAATCAAATAGACTTTGGTCAAAATGTTCATTGTTGGGCTCAAAATATCTGTTTGATTGATTTGAGTATGATTCAATGCCTGAAAGCACTTGATCAATTATTAAGTGAAATGTAGGTATGTAAAAACGTGAATAAATATTTTGTTTCATTATGATTTATTTCTAAACCTATCTTATTGTACAATAATTTCTGTTTAGTAAATATAAATTAAAATTGATGTTTTAAATGGAGTAATTAATATCTTTAATTTAACTCATTTTTGTTACTTAAAATTTTAAAATACCTTCATAAAAATAAAGTGTTAACTTCTAAGTAATATTTAATTTAATATAATATATTTTTCAGATAGGTAGTTCAAATAATAAATATTTTACCGCTACTCAAAATTTGACATTTGGAGCAAATGCTCTTTTGGCACCTCGATTTATGCGGCCCTGAATTTTGTATTGTGACCTGTTCTATTGAACATTAAAATAAGCTAAAGATTATTTTCATAATGTGTTTTAACTAGGAAAATATTAGCAAAGTAAATACCTACCTACATATTATATTCTTCAATAAATATTATAGCCAGTAGTACAACATTTTTCAATTTATTGATAATTTTTACTTCAAAATATAATAGAGAGCTCATTTTTTGAGGGCACATTTGTTATAAGGAACTTAATAGGTATTTTTATAGGTCCTAATCTCCTGCCAAATTTAAGACTAGCCAAGAGTCTTGATTCATTCAAATTTAAAATGAATTTGYGATTTTTAATCTTAATAAAAACAAATAAAACTTTAAAAAAAAACATTGTGAACTTTATATATAGGTATTTCTAATTTCCATAAAAACAATTTGAACTAAATGTATATTCATTTCAAATATTACATTTTATATACCTAAATTATTATATAGAGTTGAAAGATAACAGTCAATAATAAATAGGTTCCAACTTAATATTATAATCTAATAAATAAATTATAATTACTCTAGATACTATAAAAACATTGTAGGTAGTTCATACATTAATACATTATAATGCTTTAATGATTTCCATACAATATGTAGTTGTTATATTTATTTTTAATGTGCCTATATACATTTTAAAGCAATCTATGYCTACTCACAGAAAGATATGCTATACATATCACATAAATACACAATACTTAACTATCAAGAGTATACAACAATAATATCAATACTATTAATTGACTGAATCAACTATCAAGACAGTAAATTGTACCTTAAGTAGTGTGTCAATTGACAGAGGAAAAGATAATGATGATATTTTTTTTCTTGATATATTTACGTTGTTGGCCACATCTGAATTAGAACGTCGGCGTATAATGCTTAGTGAACTGCTATGTGTTTKTCTTTTGATTTCTTTTTTACAATCTACTACATAAGAAATAAAATATTAAATTTACTGAGACATTTAAAACAATCGTAGTGTCTCTTACAATTATTGGGTGTAGAATATTTTGTATTATCAAGAGCTGGTAGTTTTGTGCAACTTGTTTTTTTCTTTTCCTGAAATTGCACGTGTTGCAACCTATTATACATACAGACCTCATGAATATCACCAGTGTTTATAATTTTGAAACCATTTTCACATACTTAAAAGCACTAGGTGGACGATTTKTTCGCCGATGACAGAAGAAAACCCTTTCTCGAGGGGTAAATGGTCTATTTGTTGTAAGTGGCTTTACATAAAGAGTTGGAATTAGAGCTGCTTTCGCTTCACTAATAATTTCTGAACTGGTTTTTGGTAGCTTAGTTACATGTTCTCTGTTATACATTATTGTATTATTAGATGTAAAACAAATAAATAACTGATAAATTTCACAATTTTTATTCTACTGTTATAGTTAATACTTCTTTTAAGAACTTAAAAACCTTGTCTACCACTTTATCATAACTTGCTAGAGTGTTTTGTTTGTTTTCATAAACTGTTACCAAGGAGCTTATGGAATTTAGGGCATAGTAAACAAGAGTATTATTGATTTTTTTCTTTATTATAGAATTATGTATTTAATTAGAAAAATATATATATAAATACACAAAACTAATAAATATATTAAACTAAAAGTTTATTCAATTACAATTTACAGTTAATCAATACAACACTTTATTGGATTAATTGTAATTATTTAAAAAAAAAGTACAAATACATGGGACATAGTAATAATGTTATAAATTAATAATACAACTAAATTCCGTTAATTGAGTCTTCATCACAATCACCTGGAGGCCTAAGCTCGTCTTCTTTCATATTAGATATTTTTTCAGGTGATAGTTTTTCTTGTTTCTGTAAAAAATATGAAAAATATTAATATATATAGCTTAATTTTAATCATAATATGWAAACAATCATTGGTAATAAAGTCAATAAATTTGTTTTCTTTATATTGTTAGAAAAATAAAGTAAATATTGAACCTACTAAATTCAATAAACTATAGTTTAATAGTTACTGTATCATAAGGTACTATTTATATCYCCGCTACCATTGCGCCCATATTATTATTAATTTTTAAATATTTATTAAAGTAAATGTATATTGTATTGTCTGTATTGTCAAATAGTAAACAAGGACATAAATTCATACATCATCTTTTAATTAATTAGCATAGCTTAAATAAATAAAAAATTGGATGGTGGGATCTGCTATGCTATACAGTAAGTGTCAAGTGGGTCACTGTAATAGATGTGTTAGGACTTTAGGAGGACGCTATGTGTTGTTTCTGTCTTACAAATGTAAAAAATTGTGAAAACTATTTTGCATGAGAAGAACCACTTAAGCTGTAACCCAAGCTAAGCAACCAAATTTCCACCCATAAAGAGCAGAATATTTATTGTGCAATGTTGTTTTTAAGTTTTCGATATCACAAATACGAAAAAAGTTCTTATTGTAAAAGAGTTCATTATTTTTGAGTTTTCCAAACTTGAATAACTTTTTTTAGTTCTGACATCGAAAAAATAAATACAACAGTGTACTGTAAATATTCTCCTCTTTAAAGTGTGAATATTTGGCTGCTTAGCTTGGATTACAGCTTGAGTGGTTCTTTCCCATGCAAAACAGTTTTTGCAGTGTTTTACATTTATAAGACAGAGACAACACATACGGGTGCAGCATCCTTTTAAATTTGTATTCAATGACATAAAATTGTATGCAATAAATAAATCTGAGTAAAGACAGAGTGTCAGTCTAGAGTATTTTATTTAATTTTAATATTGTTTTTATAAGGATAATATAGGTAGGTTGAATTGATTTTTGTTAAATACATTGTATCACTTTCAAACTAAATAATAATATTGCAACATTTCGCTCCAAGATTTTAGTAGCTTGTTTAATGTTATTAAAACTGCTAGTAATTGTTACAACCACTGAAAAATACTTTTCAAAATATAAAATCACAAAAAATTCAGGTAACCAGAGAATTGACATTTAAAATTTGCTGTGATCAATAAAGAAAAAAATAGGATTTCAAAGTCAAAATTAGAAAAATTAGATAATTAAAGATTTTTCAAATCTAAAAGCTAAGGAAGATGAAATTTGTTTAAACATTTAAAATTTTACTATGCCTGTTATATTAATAAGAATAAGTAGTTGACCACTAAAGCCCCCTCACCATTGAAAAATATTATATTATTATGTATGCCACTGAAAGTATCTACTGTAAATGCAGGTAATTTAAACTATTGCACAATTTTTATGCAAAATCTATGCATTAATTTGTGATAGCTTAGTAAATCAGAAGCGACAAATCCAGTGCCGCAAATACACTAATTTGGGCCCACAGGTAAATAAAATTAATTTAAAAAATGACTGCTCAGGTAAAGTAATATCTCTTTTTTATAATCGAAAATAATATAATAAGGATAAATCCATTGGAAAATAATATAAAAGTCAACTCTTCTAAACAATAATATCAGCTTAATCAGAAATAATAAACATCAATAATTGAAATGTATTACACTATGCAAGTTAAAATCCTTGTTACTACACATAACATGCATTTGCATTTGCTGGTGTTAATCAACAGCAACCAAACTATTTTTAATAAGAATTGTTAATGTACGGTAATGAGTACAAAAAACAATTGATCAAGTGTTTAATCTACATTAAAAATTATTAAAATACGATGGTTTTATTTTATTTATTTTTACATATTTTTCAGTTTTTATCATTGGACTTCTATATATGCTGGAGTCCTGAGTCCGTGTGTTTGACATACACAACAACCAGTTATTGCAAAATTGGAGGGGGCACTTATGGGCAACTTAATAGCACTTAATCTATGGCTTATATACTTTTAATTTTTTATTATTTATAGTCAGTTACATAGTAATCCAAGTTTTTAATATGGATTTTATACTTTGGCAACAACTAGGTTTATCCAAATAAATTGTTTTAATTTACTTACAGACACTAAAACTTGTTGATTGTTTGTATTGCTTACAGGTTCACATTTCACTTTTAAATTTTGATACATTGGTACTTCCATTTTTTTTCCAAATATAACATCCATAATTGCTTGACGAATGTGTGAGCGCTTAAAAATTAAAAACCATTTTAGCTTAAAAAATGTATACTAATTAAAATGATTAACTCTTACTTGTACTTCGGTAAAACTAAGTACATGATCTAACAATGATTTTCTCATTTCTGGACATTGAAATAAGACATCTTCCAGCTGTTCTGGTGGCAATTGTAACAACACCTGAAAACTATTAGGTTTTGTCTTCTGACAACACTTTATGAATCCTTCCCATTGTGTCTTTTGGTGCCATACTTTTTTTAGTATAAGTCTCTGGAGAATATTCATTATAAAAGCAATCAAACGGGGGTAAGTTGTTAAAGACTGTATAACTGTACGCATCAATAAAGTTGGTAATGGATTTACATCCATTAAATTCTGCATGACGATGGCCAATATCTCTTGCGTGAATACTGTTTTTTCCGCAAAACACAATGATGTAGCTATCAAAATAAAATGATAATATGAATTAGAAAAAAATATATTTAATCAATAAGTCTTAACAATATAAACTGTCCTGAAATATTATTACTTATAAGTTGTTATTATACCTTTAATAATGTATTTGAGGTCATTAGGATCAGACTCCATTGTATGTAATGCAATTAATAGCTCAGCTGGACTGACGGGAGGATTTGAGTTAGAATAGTTAATGCCCAAAATCCTATTGAAAACCTACAGTTAAAAAAATATACTTGATTATATAAATCAATTAATACATATTTTTAACTAAATGTATTTGTAAGCTATACCTCTTTTACAACATTTGGATTTAATTTTATTAGTTGAGGTAAGACATTCAAAATATATTTCTTATCCAAACCAGATATTATTGGTACCAAGAAACGTACTTCAACTATTTGATTTTCATATAACTTTTTAACTCTTGATACTAACTCTGTTGATGGAATTTCTAAGAGAAAAATAAAATATATATTTGACATAACATTAATCTTGTAAATTTATAAATTATAATTGTTTAAAATCTTAAAATAAGCATTAAGAATTACACAAAATTAACATTATAAACACATATTAATTAATATTTATGTATGTAAAAAATGAATTGCTTTATTTTTGAAAAATATAAATACACTATATAGTATAAACTATGTAATTAAATTTATATAGCACCATTCATCAAAAAAATAATATTATACATAGCAAAATAAATGTATGAGTAGAGCATACATTAAAATATTTAGGTACCTTCAGAAAAAGTGGTGTTTTAATAGTTAGCAAAATTAAGAAGATAATATAATAATAACAATAACAATATTAATAATAATAATATTCAAAAAGTGTCAGACTTGAATATATATTATTATACTATTCTGTACAATACCTAATATCTATTGGTAAAATGTATTTAAAAATTATATTTACCTATATTATAATATGTAATTAAAATATTATATTTTTTTATATAGAGTAAGTATCTAAATATTATTAAATATTATCTAAATATTATTATCCTATTTAAATATTATTATCATAAGCACATTTATTTATTTCTGTATTTATCAAATGTCACTTATGACAAAGATGTAAAATAATACTACACATTTACAGAATACAATGAATTAAAAATAAATATGCAATGATTTATCAAAATTATGTTTTAACATAGCTCATTTTAACAAATTATAAAATATATTTTTTTATAAATGCATTAATAGATAATAGTGTGAATTATATTTGAAACAAAAATGGTTTTATTATAACATAAAATTAAATATCTACATTAATTTAATATTAATAAGACATTTCATAATCTAATTAAAATTAGGAATACATCAACAATGGTTAATTTTTGGCTTAAAATTAAGTATATTATAAAATAATTAATATAATTATTTTATTCACTTATTAAGTAGCCGTCTCACTTTACTCTTGGACTTAGGTCCATCGTCTTCATCAGATTCTGCATATCTTTCGGCATGTGATACAATATGTGTATTGACTAGGTAATCAGTACCAATGTATTTTTTATACTCAAATAAGTTTGGAACACTCCTAACAAATGTTAGGCAATGGATGGGTACTAATCTGCTATCGACAGAAACATGTACAAAGTCATTAGGTTTGAAAGTATCATAATGCACTTTTTTTGATTCATCAGTAACTCCTATATTTGCTTTAGGTGCCAACCACATGATGTTTGCTCGTTTTTCACATAGCTCATTTTCATGTAACTTAATAATTTGTGCATAAAAGATTTTGTTAGATTTTGATCCACTCAAAGATACAATATCACCTACAGTCCAAAGTTGATTCATAAATCGAAACTGTTCAGTCTTGCGTAACGTGTAAGGACAACGAAAAGTATATAATTCAGACGGAGAAGGAATTGGATTTTCTTGTGATAACCAGCCTTCAAGTTGTCTATGTGATACTAATATTCCAACAGGATTTGAAGGTGAATCTTCTTCACTTGACGAATACATAACATAAACTAACACTTAATAGCGTGGTTTATATTAAAATTAGAAAATCGACTGATATGGAATCGACCAATTTGATAACTATTAATTTAATTTAACATTAATAAAACAGTTAAAACTATTAACTAATCAAAAATTAAAAATGTTAATAGTTGGATGAAAAATCATAAACAAAACYATAACAGAATAGATAAGTATGTCAGCAACTACACGAGTTCTGGTAGTTGGTACTGTTACTACTGTTCACGCATCTCACCCACCCCAACCATAGTCGCGTGGTCATAGATATACATAACAATGGTCGTGGTTCACTTCATCTCATTGGCTGTTATATTCTGCGGCCAATATACAGTACAGAGTTGAACCAACCTGCTAAAAGACGGGGTTTACTCGTAACGATGCGTATCAAAAACTTGCCCACATACCTAGGTATCTATTTAATCATGAACAAAACTAAACAATATTATGTAATATGTATTAACCATAAAGAGCAGAGATAAAGAGACCAAACTCGGTATCATGAACATTAGAGGAATCCTCTAATGTTCATGCTCGGTTTAGTCGGTATACAAAATATGGCCCCATAAGTTTCACGGTTATTCTGTCACCAGGAGCGCGTCATTCGATAGGAGGGGCTACATTTTACCACTTATTATACGTACTTTACTATTACTATAATAAATATACGTTCTTACTTCTTTTTTATTTATTTGAATTTGTATGAAATGTAAATTATKATTTGTTATTGATTAGCCTGGTCATGATAAAATGTGCCTAACTAAAGTTCAAACAGTTTTTGCTATATAAAAATTTAAAATTCAAAATATTATAATATAATCAATTAATCCATACATCCATTTATTATCTAGTATTCTGGGTTTTCTAATAGATTTAGATATAGCTCTATGCCATCTTTTTAAAAGCTCAGCTCTGTATTCAAAATAACATATGTAACAAATAATTAAATAGGAAAATAATTATTCATAAATAAGGTAAAGATGTTTTGTTTTTTTTACTTTGGGTGCTTTTAACATAAACTTTTATTTTTTAATTGAATTGTTTTTTGTTTGACATTTAGATCATAATTCATAACCAATATTACACATTTACACCCTAGTACAAAACAACATTTAACCATTTTTAATGTGTAGGAACAAAAATACAAATTACAATAATTACTATACTTTGATGAATAATTATTTAATTTAAATAATCAAAGCATAATAATAAATCATCCAAGTCCATGTGTTTAATAGCTATTATCATATCAATGGCATAATTAGGAATTTGGTTGAGGGAGGGAGATTATATGTTTTTAGTAAAATCTGTAAGCCTCATACAGTAACCTACCTCACTAAATATAAAATGTTAGCAGTAAAATAAAAGGGGGGAGGGTCTAYCCCCCTCGTCACTTCTAATTGTGCCCCTGAATCATATAATATATATTTTATTTTTATTATTGAAACCAATTTTAAG